CTCCACGCCCCAGACTTAGGAAGACGGCCCAACCGACATCTACCACATCGACCCGGCGATCTTCATCATCTGCTTCGCGGGACAGCAAGCATCGTTATGAGAATTCACCTTCTCAAAGAAAGTCCAGGGTCATCTTCGCAGGACCACCTCCTCCGATCGCATCCTCAGTCTTGATTAACCAAGATCCATCACGGCAGTCAGTTTCCCCGAAACATAGCGATAGCGGGCGAGGGTTTGGGTTGCTTTCGCCAAGTCGCTTTGGGTTGAGTGACAGCCCGAGCCAGAAGTATTTAGATAATCGCCCACGTCTCGACTCGATATGGAGAAGCTTACAACGACGAGAAAAGGCTTTAGAACGAGACATTCAACAACTTTTAGACCTTCAAGCTTCAGGATTGGTTGCTGGTAGCGGAGATGGGGGTTCCGAAAGCAACTTTGGAAGTGATGCTGGTACTGGGGAGAGTACTTTTTATTCGACGGCTACGTCGAAGTCACGAATGATGAATTCATTGCATATGCCCGTACGCTCTGCACCAGATGGAAGTGTTATACCTGTGCGACAACCCGCTCCAAGCAAGCCACGCGGTCTCAAATCAGCTCGAGCCGGTCTCCAACAGGCCATGGCTGCTTTATCGGACTTGAAAGCGGAGGAGAATTCGCATCTGAACACGGCGTTAGAACAACGGAAGGATGCTCTGGCATATCTTGACAAAACGAGCAAGAGGAGGGACGATATATATGCTGAGCTTCACGCCTTGGAAGACGACGAAGAAGAACCTCTGGGCCAGGAGCTCCGTCAGCTTGGGGCTGAACAGAAGACTCTTGATCACGACATAAGAATCTTAGAAGAGAAACTGATTGCAATGCGAAATCGGCGCAGGTGGGTGCGAGAGAAGATAGAGGATGTTAAGAATCGACGAGAGGCTGGCCTTAGTGGGTACAGAGCTGCTGGTCGAGACGTGGACACAGAAGTAAGGGCACTGATACAAAGACCCCCTGTCACACCGTTGGATATAGATGCTCTAGGCGCTGGTGCAAAATCTCGGTCCAAGGAGAATACTGATATGCTGCGAGGTACCGAGTTCCTGCAACTAAGACCAGAACGCAGGACGGTAGAGATGGCGAGAACGTGGTGGCAAGGAGAAATCGCTGTGCTTGAGCGTCGCAAAACCCAGATATCAGAAGACCGCCAGGCTTTGATTGAAGGCTCTGAAGTTTGGTCTGAGGTTACAGGGCTTGTCGCACAATTCGAGGCGAGATTGCGGGAACTGATCAAAGCCAGCCAAGCAGGAGATGCTGACGAAGAGCCGCAGCAGGCCGCGATACGAGATCAGTTGTCTCAGATGGACACTGTTGTTGAAGAGCTGGAAAAGCGATTGCAGCTGGCTGAATCACAGCACTGGAATCTTCTCATATGCGCGATCGGCGCAGAGCTGGAGGCGTTCCTCGAGGCTAAAGCACTCCTAAGAACGCTTGGAATCATCCCAGATGAATCAGTCACTACAGAGGATCATCCAGAACATAATGGAACACAAGACAGCACGGAGGGGGAAACCGAGGAGCTGCCTGAAGAAAGTCACGACGAGAGCGATAACGAAGTTCCCGCTGATTTGTTGGTGTCTCGGTTCGAGGATCACGAGCACGATCCTCCGGACAGCCCCCAACAACAGAGCGTAGTGTTGAGACGGGTCAGCTCTGAGAACGAGGTTCCAGCTGAGTTTCTAGCAGAACACAAAGAACAAACCAAGACCGACTAGGAGGAAGAGTTTGGGACGTTGATTAGGCTTATGAGTAATGACAAGAAGGGATGTGAAGGCTTGAACCCGGTTCAGGTTATTGGTTGATCCTAGAGCAATTCACGGCAGCAGGATAGAAGCTCATGGCCTTAGTTGAATATCAGTATCATTGATCCAATTCACATGCATAGTTAGTCATATATCCGAACGCCTATCTGAAAACCCAGCGCGTCGAACGCGTATCAGGTAGCTTTGGCCATTTCCTCCGCGCGATCGTTAAGTCGTTTTTGAAGTCATTTGCAGCTGTAAAACTGAGTGGGAAGTGCATGGTATCGATAGCTTAAAAGGGTGCCGTCCTAGTCGCTCATCGGGTTCGCTCAAAGTAGCCGCTGGAGCCTGCGATCGCGACGGATTGATCCATGACCCATTCACCGACACCGAGGTATCTATCGATCCAGCCGGTGAATTCCTTGTTCTCACCGGCGACCTTGTCAGTCTTGAAACTATCGTTTGCTGTTAGATGTGTCGGAGAGTAATTCGGAGGGTTTAAGGCTCACGTCAGGCCGGTAGATCGCTTCATGCCGGCGAGGAAAGCCGAGACTGTTGCGGTGTTAGCTCTGCGCTGTTGCGGCGACAAGGAAGGGACGTATATTGGACTTACAGAGAACGGCGTCAAAGGCATAGTGTGTCAACCGTCCGACCTTTGACCAGAGTCCCAGAGTCAGCAGGTTGAGGAGCTGTGAGAGGAGTCTTTAGACTTGCCAGGCCTCACGGGCAGAGCTCCAGGGGGGAACAGGGGGATAGGAGAGAGAGGGTACATACCACCATGATGTAAGTGTTTGCAGCGGAAGAATTGTAAAGTGTCGTTTGGTGTTGGATGATAGTCGCGGTGTGAAGCGTCGTGAATGGAGTCGTTTTCTGGATCTAACCTTGGTCTAGCTTGGTCGTCATGCGACACAGACACAGCCGCGGCGGGAACCAGGCGATTGTGGAGACTCCGGCGTGCCGGCGCCGAAAGCTCCGGGGTAGAGCCACATCACGTGTTTCTCTCCTCTGTTACAGACCCAGACATTTGGATCTGTTGCAAGTGTATGCGGATGTTACAATGCAAAACATTGTGAGATGTTAGACGTCTCACGAGATGATATTATTGGCATCTGCATCATGGCTGTTCTTCTTAAAATAATTAGACTCGAAATAGAATGGTAGATCTGGCTTTGAAATATCCGAAAGCGGATATTCCTACCTAAGGAACCCCTCAAGGTGTAAATAGCTCAACATGCTTCATCTCGAGATTCACATTCCCAGCGGAAGCTCCTGATATGGAAATGCGCCTGGATAGAATCGACGGGGCTCAATAACCATGTTGCATCACAGCACGTTGCCGCCGCTAGTAGCCTCGTAGTCGCCGGTCAAAAACAAAACCGCTCGTTCGCTGGCATATCGGCGTTATTTACAGGAGAACCCACTCACGACTATTTTTTCCTCCTTCACCTCAACATCTGTCGGTCCAGACGCAAGAGGGGTTCAAGGGTCCAGAGAGACATCGCCGAGTGCATCGCCGTGTTCTATCCCAAGAAGAGCAAAGACGAGGAGGGGGGGAGTCATGAAGCAAAATCCCTCACTCATGAGTGATCCTCTTTTACAGTAATTGACCCCCGCGCCGCCAATCTTTTCTTACAAACATGGATTTTATCCAATAGGCTTGGTATCTACCGATATCTGAAAACGAACGTCGTTTAAAGTGCCGTTTTACTCAATGCAATGTGCTGTGTTTGACATATTACTCGCGCTTATTGGTGAGGGAGGGGCGGCTGGTTTTTTAGTTATTTTTCTGTTGAAGCGACATGTCGGTCAGCTATAGCCAGAGCTATGCGATCAATTAACGTTAGTCAGGAGATGGGGGTCTATCTCAAGAGCTGAATGATAGCGACCCAATGGTGATCTCCGCGGCCATGATAGAGGCGTTTGAGTGGTATATTCCGCCAGGAGATGGACGGTTGGAACCGACGTCGATAGCTTGAGCTTAGGCTGAACCAAAAGCCAAGAAAAAAGACGTTGAGCTCAAGGGTTGATAGGTTGAAACGATAGATAAGACTCGTTTATTCCCTCGCGTCATAGACATGACTCTGCTGAAGATGCAGGCTAAACCACTTGTCATGACATTCATCAACAGTATTGTAATGTTCTGCCTGAACAGGAAGAGGATAATGAGAAGCGAAGTTGATGTGTATCATGCCAAGAGGTTTCTTAGCAGTATGCAATACTAAGACAAACCTCAACCCAATCGTAGCAGCATGCCTGGTAATGAATTGACTGATTGGTCTTGCATTTCGGCCCAATCAAAGTTTGATGACTGTTGTTGAGACGTTACGAGCTCAGGTGAGGCCAATGCTTTCAAGGTGAGAGGGCGATACTTATTCGCTAGAAAATTAGGCGCTTTCTGACTCCAACTCTGTTGGCACCATCAAAATACCCTGCCACTACCTCCTCAACGAATTGGTATTGAGTCAAGGGATGAGGTAACCTAACTACGGTCAGCATTTGCGTGGCGGGGGATTGGCATTTGTTTGCGCGTTTCATGACACGGCCAATGCATTCGGTATGATAACCCACTCTAAGATTTGGCTAATATGAACATAAATCAGCGAGGCAAGGTGAGGTACAGATAAAATTACCGATTTGGGGTTGGGGAGAGCAGTTCGTAGAGGGAGGGGAGAGCTACTGTCGGATGCTGCAGTAGCGGGCGGAGTGCTTTGCCCCGAATGTGCTGCTGTAACTTAACGATGCTGATGGATGGCAGAAGCAAAGCCACCATACACCCAAGCGCGATAGCGGGGTCGAGTTTGGTGGGGGAACAGAAAATAGCTACGCGACTTTGACGAGGGCGGGCAAGACAGTGACTTCAGATTGGATATTTCGAGAATATTATTATAGGAATATACACATCAACATTACTTGAGACTTGTTAAATTAGAGCTCTAGACCATTGTGAGCATACAAATCAATTCCAAAGCTATTTCACACACTTCAAGGCCTGTAAGCTTGCATCTCACAGGAAGCGGGGTGCAAGGAACAGCTCCCCATAATTTCTGAACCAGATCGCCAGAAAAGAAAAGAGAAAAAAGAAAAAGGCGAAAAAAAAAGCCATCCATATCTCAACCACAGCGACAGCCCAGAGCTCAGACACTTTGACCAAAGCGGGCTACCTGTGAATTCACCGTACTAAGTACATCTGAGGTAAGTACTCCGTAACGCTACTCCATGCTTGGCTCTTACCCCTCCAGTCATGATGGCTGTGATTTCTCGGTGAGGTACAAATCTTTGTTGATTGGGGAGGCAAGAGTAAAGTACCCCCTGAACGTTCGCTGTACCTTACTGAGCTGTACTGCGCTGCGCTGTGCCAACTGGGCTGGGCTCTCCCGTCTTTTATTATTATTATCATCATCACCACACCAAATTTCTTCCTCTCTCCCTCTTCTTCTCTTTTTTCTCTTCCTTCTCATCTCTCAACCCTTTTCTTACCAACGACCAAAACAGATTTTAGTACCATCCCGCCCCTTACGCTTCGACCTTTGCGAGCTCCTCCATCGAACGTCGTCAATAAATAATACCAGGAAGAGTGCGCACGTTCCTCTGCCTCTCTGACCACATCATCCTTCTGGGTTATTATCGTACGGTGCAACATTCGTACAACAAAATCTATATACTCCTGTAAGTCAACGTGCTGCTGTTGCTGTTGCTGTTGCTGTTGCTGTTGCTGTTGCTGTTGCTGTTGCTGTTGCTGTTGCTGTTGCTGTTGCTGTTGCTGTTGCTGTTGCTGTTGCTGTTGCTGTTGCTGTTGCTGTTGCTGTTGCTGTTGCTGTTGCTGTTGCTGTTGCTGTTGCTGTTGCTGTTGCTGTTGCTGTTGCTGTTGCTGTTGCTGTTGCTGTTGCTGTTGCTGTTGCTGTTGCTGTTGCTGTTGCTGTTGCTGTTGCTGTTGCTGTTGCTGTTGCTGTTGCTGTTGCTGTTGCTGTTGCTGTTGCTGTTGCTGTTGCTGTTGCTGTTGCTGTTGCTGTTGCTGTTGCTGTTGCTGTTGCTGTTGCTGTTGCTGTTGCTGTTGCTGTTGCTGTTGCTGTTGCTGTTGCTGTTGCTGTTGCTGTTGCTGTTGCTGTTGCTGTTGCTGTTGCTGTTGCTGTTGCTGTTGCTGTTGCTGTTGCTGTTGCTGTTGCTGTTGCTGTTGCTGTTGCTGTTGCTGTTGCTGTTGCTGTTGCTGTTGCTGCACATGAATGGAGACGACTGCTGGCTGTGGCTTGGGCCTTTGGGGTTTGGTCTACCGGCCCTCCAAAAATGATGGCGATAGCGATATGGAGGTGTGGCATATACCCGTCTTTGCAGATACGATTCTGGCTTTTGGGTTGCAGTAGCAGTTCAGAAACACTGTATTTCCCCTGCGACCCATTAACAGTACGTGACAAGGTGTCGGGTTTGGACTCGGTTCTTCTGGCCCGATTAGCGATTATCTGACGATTCTGTACTCGGCCCATCTATTGAGCTCATGGGTCGTCTTTTGTCCTTTTCGCCAACCAAGCCAGCCAGACTGTGTCGCACCGACTGCTCTGCCCACCGAGAAATGCCACGCCCCATTGCTATCGCCTTTCCCACCACGTCACTTAACGTCAGATCAGATCCACGTTAGCCCCATGTACTTGCCTACAGCTCACGGATACATCCCTGTTGGCCTGCATAGCAAGTGCCCGCAGAACGACCTGATCTTTCTGCTCTGCTACTTGTTGGCTGCTGATATCAGTTGATTGAGAGAGACATATATTTCCTGTCTTCTCCAACTGTTCCGGGCTGAATTCCTCACGTCTTCATTCTTTTTGCAGCAGAGCTACCCCGCCAAGCTCATCCCACCCACTACTCAACATTTGCTAATCGCTTCTTTCACAATGGCTCAGAAACCCTCACACAAACATTCCAAAAGCGTCATGGCTGCTACTGCTCAGGACCACCTCGAGTTCGGAGGCAAGATCTCATGGCTTGCCTCCCTCGACACCGCTTTCCGACCTCAGCGCAACTACCGCCGCTCCTCCATCATCTGCACCATTGGCCCCAAGACCAATTCTGTTGAGGCCATCAACAAGCTCCGAGATTCCGGTCTTAACGTTGTCCGCATGAACTTCTCCCACGGATCATATGAGTACCACAAGTCTGTCATTGACAATGCTCGCGAGTCCGAGGCTACCCACGCTGGTCGCAATGTTGCCATTGCTCTTGATACCAAGGGCCCCGAGATCCGAACGGGTAACACTCCCAACGATGAGGATATTCCCATCAGTGCTGGCCACGAGATGAACATCACCACCGACGATTCTTATGCCACTTCTTGTGACGACAAGAACATGTGAGTACAATAGAAACTGGTGTAACTCCTAAAGCTAACTCTTGCAGGTACGTCGACTACAAGAACATCACCAGTGTCATCGAGCCCGGCCGCGTCATCTACGTCGACGACGGTGTTCTCGCTTTTGACGTCCTCGAGATCAAGGACGAGAAGACCATCCGAGTCAAGGCCCGCAACAACGGCGCTATCTGCTCCAAGAAGGGTGTCAACCTGCCCAACACTGATGTCGATCTTCCCGCTCTTTCCGAGAAGGACAAGGCCGATCTCAAGTTCGGTGTTGAGAACAACGTGGACATGGTTTTCGCGTCTTTCATCCGCCGCGCTGAGGATATCCATGACATCCGCGAGGTCCTCGGTGAGAAGGGCAAGCACATTCAGATTATCTCCAAGATTGAGAACCGACAGGGTCTCAACAACTTCAAGGAGATCCTCGAGGCCACCGATGGTGTCATGGTTGCCCGTGGTGATCTCGGTATCGAGATTCCCGCTGCTGAGGTGTTTGCTGCCCAGAAGAAGCTCATTGCCATGTGCAACCTCGCTGGCAAGCCCGTCATCTGCGCTACTCAGATGCTCGAGTCCATGATCAAGAACCCCCGCCCCACCCGTGCTGAGATCAGCGACGTCGGCAACGCCATCACTGATGGTGCCGACTGTGTTATGCTTTCTGGTGAGACAGCCAAGGGTAGCTACCCCTCCGAGGCTGTCAAGGAGATGCACGAGACTTGCCTCAAGGCCGAGAACACCATCCCCTACGTCTCCCACTTCGAGGAGATGTGCACTCTCGTCAAGCGACCCGTCTCCACTGTCGAGTCTTGCGCCATGGCTGCTGTCCGCGCTTCCCTCGATCTCGGCGCTGGCGGTATCATTGTCCTCTCCACCTCCGGAGAGTCGGCCCGCATGCTGTCCAAGTACCGACCCGTGTGCCCCATCTTCATGGTCACTCGAAGCCCCACAACATCTCGATTCGCCCATCTGTACCGTGGCGTGTACCCCTTCCTGTTCCCCGAGACCAAGCCCGACTTCACCCAGGTTAACTGGCAGGAGGATGTCGATCGCCGAATCAAGTGGGCCGTCAACAACGCTCTTCAGCTCAACGTCCTCACCCCCGGTGACACCGTTGTCGTTGTCCAGGGCTGGAAGGGCGGCATGGGTAACACCAACACCCTCCGAATCGTCAAGGCTGACCCCGAGCACCTCGGCATTGGTCAGCTTCAGTAAAGCATAAAAGTCTCTTAAAGATGAACGTGGAGTGATGGGGAATTGTTTAATGCGAAATTAGTAATGATAGACAGGGCAATGGTTGTTTCCAAGGTTAGGGTACTGGTTTACGAGTTCTGAGTCACGTAAAGGAATAAACAGGGCAAGTCCCTTTGCATCATACCATATGTCTCTGTGAAATGTGCCTCAAGTGCGTATGTCACTCATCATAAAGCAGACATTCATCAGTAAGCTTGATGTTGCAGAACACTAGGGATACCAGGCCAACATCCCGTCGTGTAATGTCCAGTACACCTCTCGCATCAACACATGTGTCCCTAACGACCCGCCTATCCGAAGGCATCTAGCCCACACATGTAGCCAAGGATTACGGAGTAAAGGGCTGAGATATGGAAAGACCCCGAGCTAGGGACCAGATCTCGCGATTCAAGGGTGCATTGCTTACCCCTAACAGTACGATATATGATAAGATGGGTCTCGGGAAGCAGGAAAACAGCAGGGCCTGATACAAATAGGGCGTCAAAATAAACTCAGTGAAAAGTATCTTAAACTTAGCAAAAGTATCCTAAACTTATGCTAAGTTGACCTAGGTCTTTTCCTCCCGTGGATGGGTCTATCTTTTCTGTGGTCCGTGTACAAAGGTGTGGCCTGACCTTATAAAAGGTCGGTGATAACCGATTCTGGCATGATAGTTACGATTGAGGTGAATAGTCGGTCCTTCAAGATGAGCTTTGGACACCGTGTTGGGGTAATGAGGTGATGAGATGGATACACAGAGATGATAGGGAGATTCAAGATGTTTCCTAATGGACTCGAGTGATTGGATAAGTCTGGGATAGACTGAGAAGTCTTCTAACCCGTGGGTCATTTACGTCTTAGTAAAGTATGTTGCTGTAGATCTAGTGGATCAAGGCGCCGCTGTTTACACGCAGGGGCTGTCATGATGAGATGGTACTGTCGGTGCTTTCGACGGAGTTCTTATGGCAAAGTTGGGTCATTGAGGCAACTCAAGTTGTCCATGTTCAGTCGCTACTATAGTGGACATTGCGTGAATGCCGTGCAGCCGTACAGCATCGCGATATAGGTAGGCAGTGAAAGATTCCCTTGGCAGGACGCCTTTTTATGCGTGATGGCAAGTTTCCGTCATCGCCTTTTTTTCTCATGACCCCTGGCGGTTCGGCTCGAGCCGCATCAGTTATATCCCAACGGCCGCCTCATCTGCAGCTCCCTTATAGAACCATGGGAACTGTCTCACTCACAAGCTAATGCAGTGGGCGAATGATAAAAAGTGACTCCGTGAAAGAATATGCTAAGAACAAATGCTGGGCTTCCTCTATGTATGCCTGTGAATCGCCAGTCTGTCCACTTTTTCCGTCTATAAATCCTTGATCTCAAACTTCTTTCTCAAATGCTCTCCATACTTGATGAATAGCCACGGCGCAGGGATTAGCGCAGCAGCGATGAAGCCCAAAAGGCTGTTTCCCCATCCCATACCGAGTTTGTCGTACATTGGCAGTCCCGCGAGAGGTAGAAATGCTCCAGCGATTGATCGCATCACGGCGTTGGCGGCGAGGGCAGAGGCTGCGTAGACGGTGAAACTGTCGATGAGGTACATCTGTAGTGACTGTAATATGGTTAGTCGGCATCACGATACCAAGTGGTAGACCTACCATGAAGATGACCAGGTTTCCGACACCAATGACACATGTTCCAAGGATGGGTGCGATCCAATGAGTCTGATACTCTGCAGTCCATCCGTAAATGAAGAAACCAGCCGGGAGCAGAACAGCACCAATCCTCAACGGCGGAAGTCGATTCTCGGGCCTCATTGATTCAGCAGGATCGTCAATGCCTTGCTCCTTAGCAGCTGCAGCCTTCTTCTTCATGTACTTGTCACTAGAGACTGAAAAGTACGCTACGCCAATCATACTGCCCACACCAAGACCCAGGAACGTTAGGCCTGCATGAACTGTGTTGAAGTGGTAAATTTTCATAAACAGAGGTGTGAGACTCGTGAAGAGGAGGTAGAGGTATGCATAGGCAAGTCCCACGTATACACCGCAGATGATGCAGATGGGTGAGAAGAGGAGCATCTTGAATGGGCGCAGGATACCGCGCTTGAAGTAATCTGCAGGACTGAGGCCGGCGTCAAGTTTAGATCGAAGGCGGTCGTTGCCTGTCTCCTTCTGGAGTCTCTTTGTCTTTCGGGCGAGAATGACGGGTGCGTAGGTCTCCTCTGAGGCGAAGAAGAAGATAGAGGACAGGACGCCAGATATGATGGCAATGATCCAAAACACCCATCGCCAGCCCAGGGCGTCAGTGATAACACCACCCACAACTGGCCCAATGATGGGTCCGAGAAGCGGACCGATACTGAAGCTCGCCATGGCCGCACCTCGCTTCTCCTGAACGATCATATCCGCAATCGTACCGCCGCCGTTGGTGATGGGTGTCGAGCCAAATGTGCCACTAAGGAAACGAAACGCGATGAAACTGCTCAACGAGGGAGCTTTGGCGCAGGCAATAACGAACACTGGGAGACAGAGTTAGACAAGTTTGGAGGTAGTGAGGATTTATTTTATACCGATGAAGCCGACGTTGCAGCAGTGATAGACTATTTGACGTCCATAAAGTTCCGATAGGGGAGCAAAGATCATGGGGCCTGCAGCGAAACCGAGAACGTAGACAGACACACAGAAGGATGCTAGTTCGCGACTTTGACTGCCGAACTCGACCATGAGTTGCGGTACACCGGGTGCAAACATGGCTATGTCACGTTAGCATGTCCTTGAAGGCTATAATCTCGAGATAGATATTACAACAAGGGCTACTTACAAGAAGCCAAGGGAGTAACGAACGTCAGTGCGCTTACAAGCACACAATTGAGAACCTTCTTCCAAGT